CTATTTTTTTTTAACTGTAACGCAATACTCTTAATGACTCCTGGGATATAATTTGTTTTAGTCACAAGCCTAACTATAAAGCTGCCAAAGGGATTTTGTTATTATTTTCTGTAGATATTGCTATAGTTAGTTCTTTTAATACTTAATACTTAAACTGACCTAGTATTAGTATTGGCGATCTTGAGTTATGTTGAAATGATTCATACAAAATGGCTTACTCTTTTTTTCTGCATCTATAAGACACTCTTAGGGCTTTTGTACAAGTATTTGTTTTGGTAATAAAAGGTACCGTGAGGTTAATATTTTTATTATTATTTTGAGATGATAATTCTGTTAGTTCTGTATGATGATGTTTATATAATTATAAAACTATCTAGACCTTATGTCAAAATAAATCAAACAAAAGCAATAATCTTTAATTAATGGAACACTTTTTTAGATTTTGTGTTAGTATTTGTTTTGTTATAAAATATATCGTAAAGCCGTTGTTTCGATTATGGTATTATTTTCAGTTAATACTAGTGTCATTAGTGGAATGATGATATATATTTATTTATAAAACTATTTAATGCTAGTTATAAAACTATTTAATGCTAGTATTTGAGACCTTAAAGCATGTTAGTTCATACAAAATGATTCATACAAAATGGTTTACTTTACTTTCTGTATCTATAGGGCACTCTTAAGGTTTTTTTATTACTATTTTTTTTTGGTAATAAGACATATTGTAAAATTATTGGATAACTTTTGGTATTATTTTCAGTTGATACTGCTGTCGCCAGTTTCATGATGATATATATTTGCTTATAAAACTATCTAGTGATGGTATTGAAGAGCGTTGTATTGAAATGAACCATATGAGTTGGTTTACTTTTTTTTATGGATCTATAAGACACTCTTATGGGTTTTTGTTTTGTTTGTAGATACTATAAAGCCGTCGGAAAGATTTTGGTATTATTGTTTGTTGTTAGTTTTAAATGATACATCATGATATAAAATTTTACTACGATTATTGGAGCTCTTGGGTTATGATAGAGAAACAAATCATTCAAAAATGGCATACTCTTTTCTTCCATCTATGAGAGACTTTTAAGGCTTTCGTGTTAGTGTTTTTGTTTTAGTAATAGACCTACCTTTAACTATACATATACTATGCATATATATTTTTTCTCATAATTTTAATCTTTATTCTGTTAACATCCCGAGGAGATACAATTTTTGTATTCAACTGATTTCTATTTGTACTGTACATTCTATTTGCCGTCGGATATGTAACTTTTTCACTTACCTTGCCTGCATATAAGAATACTCAGAGCAGCATAAGTTGAAATAAATTGTTAAATAAAAATAATTAATATAAAATATTCACAGCACATATGTATGTGAAAATAAATTTAAATAAATAAATTTTAAGTAAATAATAATTAAAAACAAACAATTCATAATTAGCACAACAAAAAACGTGCTTTCATAAATTGATTTTTTTTTCAAATTTTTTTACTTTGTTGTTGTTGTTATATTTATTGTTGTTTTGTTAAGTATTGTACAAACATGTATCGAACAATGTGATTATCACTCCTTAAAAACTGTCAAATTAGCGTTCATATTTTTCTGTCTGATTTGCTACACAGAGAAAATCATCATTCAGCTACTGCGAATAACATGTCAATTTAGCATCATTTATCTTGCCACAACGCCGCAGTATTACACATTTTATTATCACCCCATAAACACAACATAGCACAACACAACACATCACAACACATCACATCACCATTGATAAGAGAACAAAAAAACAGTAGGGGAAGAGACAATGTGTGATGTTGCAATTGCATTGCTTGCATTCCTACTGAAACGCTGCTCTTCTCAAAACACAGATAAATGCATTCACAGATACGAATAACCAACCCAATGAACGAACTTCACGCTCATTGAGTTTTAAGCCCAAAACTATGTTGTCGGATTGTATTCGATTGGAATGAATCGGAATGGATTGGATTGGATTGTAGTGTAAAGCAGAGTTTTGATGAATATGAATTTAATTTCTCATGTTAAAGTGACATGGTCAACACCTAAGGTGACTCGATACCAAAACAAAAAGATGTGTTGTAAAAAGGGAATACGAGTACTGTGTTGCTACTCGTATATGGGTAGCGTGCTAGGGGTTATCGGATTGCATCTACAATATTATTACCATTGTATCAATTAGTTTTGTATTCAATGAATTTCTTATTGTATTCTGATTTGTTTTTTATTTGTAGTTTTCAATAGGCTTATGGGTTTTCTTTTTTTGAAATTTATACTGTTTTGATGAGACAATGGCATAATAAGAGGGTTTGTTTTTCAAACAATAATCTAATGGTTGAGACTTGACCTTTGAGGTCAAGCTTCGAGTGATCTTTAGAGTTTTACTTTTTTGTTTTTGAGAAATAATTTTGCTTTTAAAGAAAACTTATGCTAATTAAGATATTTTTTTAAATTTATTAAAATATAGAGTTTTGTTAAAAAAAAAAGTTGTACTTATGTTGGGTTTTGTTTTTCTATTTCAGCTTTACGAAATAAATGATGATCCTAAACGTAAAGAGTTTCTGGATGACTTGTTTTCGTTTATGCAGAAAAGAGGTAAGTTAAATTTTATTCCATCAAGTTTTTTAAATCCTTTTTTGAAAAGAATGGAGTGAACTATGTTCTTTAATGTTGTTAATATAAAGCACATATGGTTAATATTGAAACTGTTTTCAGTAACTAGGAATAAGTTAGAAAAATTAATTTCTTTAAAATAATTGGTAGTGGTTTGTAATTAAGATACTATTGTGTAATGAGGAATTCTAAATTTTTAGACTATTCATTACTATCAATTAATGATATCTTCTAGTATATATTATTTTATTAATCGTTATTGTACGTGAAGATTCATGTTGTTTACACATTTTTAATAGTTTTTTTTTCATAAGCTTATAATTCAATACTCTTTATTTCTTTGCAACTTAATTCTAATATTTTAAATAGAGCTATTCGTTATACTAAGAGCCTTTTTTTCACTCCTAACATGAACTTCTAGAAAGAGGATTCTATATACTCATACACATTTAGGCAGTTATCGGAAATAAATATTTCGTTCAAGATAGTTCACAAAGGTAGATATATAATTAAGTCATTATGGAGTACTTCCAATAGAATAGTTACAAAAATATACCTAAACAGAAAACAATGTTGAATGTATGAGAATAAAAAAGCATATAGAATTAAATTGGATACACAGTACGTAAGTGTTATGAAGATTTGGTGCATGCTGCACTTACTTGCAACACTCAGGGGACTAGGCGTAGAGACAGACCAGCAATGACCTGGAGAAGTACAGTTCAGCAGGAGACGGCAAAATCGTTTAATAAGTAGACAGCAATAGCACAAAATAAAAACCAGTGGAAAAGTTTTGTAGACTCCTTAAGCTCCTAATGGGGTATGGAAATAATAATAATAATAAATAGAGTTAAAAATATGCGGAAATTTAAGCATATTATTTTGGGAGAATTAGTACTGAGACCTGTAGATCTATATTCGAACCGATTTATTTGTGATTTATATTTATAAATCACGAATATACATTAGTATTGAGCTTTGATCGGACTATTAAAATACATAGTAATGTGGACACATCATATATAAGTAAGCACCTATTACAAACAGTAGATAAATAGAATTTTAATCAGGACAAAAGATCGTATGTGGAAGAAGAAGAAAAAGAGACGTCCGTACAGTACCTATCCAAATTCCAAGTCTGGCAGAATTAGGGCATTCGTGAACTGATCAAGATTAGTGATATCTAATATACAGGTTAGGTTAGATTAATCTGATCTCTTGGTCTCTAACTATACAAGATAGAGATCTACAACTATGTAGATATTGTTATAAGCAATATTTGGTGTTTGAAGTTCTGTCCCTAGAACGGATTTATTAAATATGCATTCAAGATTTTTTAAAATGTATTTTAAGACCTTACCTGAACGGGATTTGTATGCATACCTTGTATGTTCTGCGGAATGGTGATAGTCTATCCAAAATATAAGTCCTTTAAAAATATTTTTTTTAATTAACTATGGATTTGGCTTTAAAAACTATAAACGGGACTTTATTTTAAGTATGTGGTAATGAAACGGAAGTTATGAGCTATTTGGAGCAGAGAAGAATATTTGATGTTCTGTTTAAGATATTTGATCTTGTGGACATTAATAAATTTATAGTAAGGCGATTAGGAGAAATGGGAAATAAAATTTTTATGTAGCAGAATTGACTGCTAAATCAGAATCGTCAATAAATGATTTTATTTTCTTTTCATTGAGGTGTGTGTTACTGTTTACAAGAACTGCGAACCTACAAATTAGTCAGCCATAATTGGTATCAAATTATATCAAATGAAATCGAGTTTTGAGGATGTCTAAGTTTTCAAGTCTGTGCTACTACACAGTAGCACAAATAAAGTGAATGCTTGATCAAAATCGGTAGTAAAAAAAAAAGAATTTTTTTTTTAGAATTGTGTGAACCCCTCAATGTTAAAATTTTTAAGTCTGTGCTATTTTTCTAATTCTTCAAAAGTTTCTATTAACTTATTTCTTGATTTATTTCTTAATTATCATTCTTAATCATTCCAAATTATTATTATATAGTTAAATTATAATTGACTATAGAAATTTTTGAAAGTGACCAAATTGCAATTTTACAGTTCAAAAGTTGATTTCCACTCATCAAAAACTTTTAAGATAAATTTAAATAAAAAATCCGAAAATAATTAATGTCGTCATAAAATTTATTCAAAAATGTCTTGGAATTTGTTTTCACAAAATTGACTCAAAAGGAGCCACAAATGAAGTAGTCAACTCAATGATATAAATTTAAATTGTTGAAGTGTAAGAATAGCCACCGAAGCTGACGTTGGAGTTGCTGTTGTTGTTGTTGTTGTTGTTGTTGTAGATGATTATGGTCCCTGCTGCTGTTGCTGCCGTTGATGCCGCTGATGCTATTGCTCCTACCAACACTCCAACACTTCAACTGCTGTTTTAACTCATCTCATCAAAGTCATTATCATTAATGACACACGATCAACACTTGAATGAATCGTCACTTCTGCGCTGAGTTAGAATGAAGACATACATACATACACGGAATATACGGAATATTCGGAATAATGAATATCGAATACGGAAACTTTTGTTGGGATGCATACCAAACCTCAGTGCATCGTGTTTGTGGTGTGTGTAGCTTGGATTTTGCTGCAATTCAATTATGAATTACTTCAAATGGAATGCATTAATTTCGAATTACTGCAGTCATTCCTTTTGGCGGTTGCTGTAATATGCTTGGGTAATAATGAAGCTCATTATACGACCATATAAAATTATGTTAATAAAATTTGTTGAAGAGTTTTTATTTGTTGTTCCTCTTCCAAGATGCAAGATGCAGTAGCTATTGTGGTTTTCGTAAAATTGAATTATAAAAAAAGAAGAGAATTTTTGTTAAGTAAACTCACTTCAGCAAAATAATCAAAACAAATCGTGAGATTACGTATGACACTCATGACTGTCATATTTTTAATTTGATTTGTATATTATAAAGGGGAAATACTTGCTTTATATATTTGTTGTTACCCGTAACTCCTTCAAATGAAGTGCATTTTAGGTTAATGCACTGATATAAAAATTTTATTTCCTTTATTATTCGTTATTATTATTTTTTTTACCCTTCACACTATTGTGACGTTTTGGCATTAAATTCGTCAAGATGTTTGTAATGTGTTGAAGGAGATGACGGAGATTATTAAAATTATATATATTTTTAACCAGTATTACTACACATATTGGTGCATTTGTATGTATTCCGATCATTTATAAACTAACTAACCGAATTAATCGATATAAAATAAAGTTATGTTCACGAGAAACAACTGGAACCGATGGAAACCGATTAGTATAGAAAGGAGGAATATATAAAAATATCATATCGGGTGTTTTTTTAGCTGCATGTGAACTTAAAATGATAAGACAGGACAGAAATATTATGGAAATAAAATTTTTGGGCCATTTGATCCATTTGATTCATTTAATCAGTCTAATTATTGGCCAATATTTGTAATATATGTGGCCGTATGTCGACATAAATCAATGATTTAACATAACTCCATGAAAAGTAGGTCGAGAAGCGTTAAATCGCACGAACGAGGGGTAACAAGCCAGTTAACAGGACCACTTCTGAAAATAAAATAATTTGTAAATTGATTTCGTAATAAATTGTTAGTCGATTATTAGTCGACTATTACGTGCATTGTATGGCAAGTTGCGCCATTTTACGTCTTGTTGTATCCAAATGTCGTCGATGTTTAACTAATTTATTTTTGAAAACGGAAATGCTCGATGGCACTTGTCATTCACCGTAACGGCAGTACCTTCCTCATTTCGAGGAAGGTGAAATGAGGACCGATGATGCCGCCAGTGTGTAAACTGTACCAAACAGTCAATTTTAATAGATGTAATGATGAATCATTAACGGCTTAAAGATTGTCTTCGCTCCATATACGGCAATTTTACTTATTGACGTAGCCATTTAACCAGAAATGATCTTCATCACTAAACACAATTCTTCGATATGAATTTCACAAACAGATTTATTTTTTTCAAAGTAAATTTTCATCAAAAATTAATTTTTTAAAATTGCATTCTTTTATATGAGAAATGGATCCATAGACTTTGAATTTGAGTACATTTGTTCGTGTTTAATTTTGTTTTAATTATTCAGTTGTTACTTCGAAAATGGTTTAAATGCGGTTTTTTATTTTTGATATTTTAAACTTTTTAGTTCTAATGCTGGGCTTGTGTATGTCTACACGTGTTTCGGCAAATTCGCTTTTGCTTTCATTAGGAGAATTCCTAATATTCAATATCAACATTCGATCTATTCGTGGTTTGTGAAGTCTATCTAAATTCTTTGCTATTTATCCTCTTCAGTCTTTAAACTTGTTGGAACTTTCAGAATTTTTAACATGTAATTTTACTAAAAATTGGCGCTTCCTTTCATTATTTCATTATCATAATTAGTCCACATCTATTTTGTATTAGAAATTTTTTTGTATCAGGAAACTATAAACAATTGTCTTCAAGGCATTAATTCTGAATGATAAATCGAAAGGAAGAGATATATTGCATATATTTCAATCATCACCGACAAACGATTATACGATTCAATACTTATTGATATACCGTGTGTTAAAGTAAACTCTCGCCGAAAAAAATGCAGTCATATAAATTGCTATATCCCATAAATGTATAGGAATATACTTATTCCTATCTTATTCTTTATTTTTCAGCCATATACCCAGGTCTCACTCTATCCTTCTCTTCTATGACTACTATATGGGATCATTCTTCGAGATTCGAGTACAAATCATTGAAATGGAATTTCTGAACTGTGGTATAGTAAGTCAATTGGATTTTGTAACCAAATAGTAAGGAATTCCTGTTTTTGTTTTTTGTAAAAATACGAGGAAGGTTTGATAAGTCAGTGACGTTTTGAATAAAACAAATTTTTTTCGGCAAATAAACATTTTATTTTTCTACATAATCATCTTTTAGCTC